CTAACATCATATTATATATTAGCTTATTAATAATGCTATTTTATTCACTGTTTCCTTGCAAGAGAAAATAAACTCCATGTAATCATTGTTTTCTGGTTTATCTGAGTGCTTACAACTCATAACTAACTTTTTAATGAGTAAATCACCAGGTTTATGTTATGGATATTAGCACACTTAAAGAGTTTAATTTATTATCCATGATTTCTTAGCTAATCATTAGTGGGGTGTAGATTAAGCATAACTAATTCAAACTCAAACAGAATTTAACCTTTCTCTTCAAGACCAAGTTTTTATTATACTGATTTAAGAAAATGTAAGTAATGAAATTTATCATTTACTGTTTCATGGATTTGCTTGTCAAAAGACATCTGAATTCTTATGCTAGAAATTTATGTGTTTTGGCTAGATTTCCAAACTATGTTTTGTAACTTTAATTCCAGGAACTATAAATTGATTACACAGACACATTTCAGGTGCTCTATAAATATATCATGGAGATGAGGCTCTTGCACATTAAATCAATAACTGCTTCAATAAAGTCCTACTAAAATTGAATTTTCATATTGTATTTAGAAAGTAAGAGAAGCACTGGAGCAACTCTGAGACCTAAATTACTGGTTCCAATTTGTATAGTATTTTCAAAATATTTTTTATATAATCTTGGGATTTAAGTTTTAGAACCCCAATCATTATTAATTATTATTAATTTTATTAATTTGGGGTTTATAGTGAAGAAGAAGAAGAAATGAAGAAGTCAAGAAATAAAAATACATTTTAGTTTCTTCTCTGTATGCTTATTTTTAAGTATTTGTTGATGTTAAATTGTCCCTACTCTTATCCTCCCAGCTGTTGTCTCTATGCCTTAATCTCAAAAACGTTTAAGTAAGAAAAACACAAAGTTCCAAACAGATAAATTCTAAGATCAACATGAGACACTGCAGATGTGTAAGGCTATCTGTAGGAAGACTAGGATAACATACTTACACTGAAATTTGTTGAATGCATTAATATAATTAAAAATAGATGTTTCACCAGGCATTGTGGTGTACACCTGTAATCCCAGTGACTTAAAAGCTGAGGCAAGAGGATTGCAAATTCAATCTCAGTCTCAGCAATTTAGTGAAACCCTGTCTCAAAATAAGAGATAAAAAAGGCTGAGGATATAGCTCAGTGGTAAAGTATTCCTGGGTTCAAGCCCAGTACAAAAACAACAACCAAAAAAAAAAAAAAAGATGTTTTATTACCAATGGGATTTGACCAGTTCTTTAAGCATGACATAACAAAAATGATTTTAAAATTTACTGAAACAATTTAAGCCCATTTGGGGAAGTGTGGAACTAATCATTATCACTATTATAGCAGCCAAGATTTACTCTAAGCATTCTAGTTTCCAGGTGCTATGCTGTTAGCTATCAAACTATAGTAGTCTTGTTTGCAAAAACTTTTTCATCACAAAGTGGATATAAGGTTATTAAGCTTTCCTTTCATCAAGTTTCCTGATTCATCATAATTTTAGACTTTCCAAGGAAACTTTGGATTATGTTTTGGCCTTAAATATGGGTCTACCTAAAGGAAAAAATAAAAGTGATAATCTCATGGAATTCAAAATGTCCACTTCATTTATAACAGGAATGTCTCATGGGAAATACAGAAAGTGGCTTTGATGATGAAATGACTTGTCATCTATGAATGTCCACAGGGAATGAACATGTTAATTAGTCTGGTCACTGGAACAATAAATTTTTATATTTAATTAACTAATTGGCACTCTGTGGTCTACATGGTTTATGTTTATATTTTATTACTCTTTAGTACTGATAGGATGAACATATAGGGATTCACACTGCTTAATCAAGTATAAAAGTTCTCATCTCTACTGTTTACATCAACTAAGGTAACTTTCAAAAAAGTGTTCAATATATTCCTTCTTGAGAAAAATCTAAAATCTGGGGCTAGGGTTGTGGCTCAGCGATAGAGTGCCTACCTAGCACATGTAGGACACTGGGTTCGATCCTCAGCACCACATTAAATAAGTAAGTAAGTAAGTAAATAAATAAATAAATGTATTGTGTCCAACTACAACTAAAAAACAACAAACAAAAATATTTTTAAAAATCTACAAAGAGGAATCAGGAATGGAAAGGACCATCCCTTCAACAATCGGTGATAGAAAAACTGAGTATCTACATATAAAAGAATATACCACATATAAAAATTAACTTTAAATAGATTAAAGACCTACAAGTAAGACCTAAAGCTATAAAACCCCAGTAAAGAACATACGAGTATAGTTACATACTATTACATTTGGTAATGATTTGTTGGATGGGATACCAATACCATAGTCCACAAAAGCAACAACAGACAAATGGGATGACATCAAATTTAAAATCTTGTGTTTATTATAGGACCCAACCAACAGAGAAAAAAGGTAACCTATGGAACCACACAAAAAGCTGCAAATCCGATGTCTGGTGAGGAGTTTATATCAGAATATATGAAGAATTTCCTTCCCCAGCTTAACTACAAAAAAATTCAAATAACTCCTGTGAAAATAGTCAAACAACTCAGACATTGCTTCAAAGATTACATACAAACAGCTAATTGCATATAAAAATATGCTCAATTTTATTACTCACCAGAAAAATTCAAATGAAAACCACAACAATGTATGACCTTGAACCCTTTATGATGGTTACTATCAACAAAATTAAGAGAAAAAGAGAAATCCTTGATAGGAATGTGAAGTAGTACAAAGCTTTGTGTACTTTTGGTGTAAAATGATACAAATATTATAGAACAGTATTATGTTCTTTAAAAATATTAATGAAGTAGAACTCCAATATATTCCAAAAATTTCACCTGTGGGCATATATACAGAAACATGAAATCAAGGTCTACACAAGATATTTGTACACCTATGTTCATAGAAGCAGTATTCACAATACCCATGAAGTAGAAGGAACCCAAATGTTTTTCAAGGGATGAATGGATAAACAAAATATAGTAGGCACATACAATAGAATAAAATTTAGCCTTAAAATAGGACTAGAACTGGTGACATAATACACCATGGATGAATACTGATGCTATTACATTAAGTGAAATAAGCCAATTACAAAAGGAGAGATTGTATTATTCTATTTACATGATATATTGAAAGTCATCAAATTTATATATTTAGAAAGTAAAATGGTGGGATAACGGGAGAGGAAGAGATTTGTTACTTAATGTATATAGAATTTCAGTTCCACAAGATAAAAACATTCTGGAAATCTGTTTAAGAGCAATGTATAAAAATTTAACAATAAAAAGTTATAAATTTAAAAATCGCTAAAATGATAAAATTTATTATGTGAAATTTTAGCACAATGAGAAAAGGAATGAAAAAAATGTGTTTTTTGTTTAACATACTGGAAAAGACATATTTAATACTTTCAAGATTATTAAAAGAGAGCTGTGGATGTACCTCAGTGCAGAGTGCTTGCTTAGTGTGTGCAAAGTCCTGGGTTTCATCACCAGTATTAAAAAAAAATTATCAAAAGATAGATGACTTTATTCCAGTTTTCAAGATAAGAAAGTATAGCCACAAGTATTAACTGTCTTGCCCATTTACAATAGAATCTCATATGTACTTTTGAATTCATAAACTGTTATTCATTATAGAGTTAAGTTCTTTTTTAAAAATGTTCAAAAACATGATATCATTCTATGTAAAGTTGAACTGTCCTTTATATAAAATCCTCTTTATGTAAAAAGTTTAACATTCTTTGTATATTCATAATATTCATTGTAAAGGTATATAATTTAGTTCTCAACAATCTTATAGGCTTTATTAGTTCTTATTGACCAAAGGTGAAACTTAGGTCTGAAACAATCAGTTGTTATAGTCTGTGTTACAAACCAGTCATATGAAGTTCAAGCTCCTTTTGCAATCATACATTTATCTGAAGTTGACAATTTTTTTTCTTCTTCATATGATCACATCCACCATATCCAATAAGGTCATCATGTCTTACAAATCTCTACAAAACTGTACTTTTGTTTTGGATTTTCTATTTCAGTTTAATTAAATATAAAGAAAAGGCATCATGATTTTTTGTGCACAAGACACTCATTGAATAGAAGTATCAAGTTCCTACTATATAACTACAGTTAGAGCAATAAAAAGAAATTTCCTACCTACATAAAGATTATATTCTATTGGGAAAATGACATATTTGCCAAAATATTAGATAATGCTTTGAAGAGAAATAAAACAGAATAAAGGGCTAGAGTTTAAAAGGGGTACCATATGAAAGCACAGAACACACACACAAACACACAAATAAATACAAAATATGATAATTACAAAATATGTTAGGATAGTTTAGAATGAAATAGTGAAGATATTTTAATACTGTGTGATAGTATAAAATTAGAGAATAACAGCCTAATAAATAATGGCAACTATAACTGTGTCAACAACATATTTGAGCATGTAATGTCCAATGTTAACAAAGAATAAGAATATGCTACATGTTTTATATAACTAAGAAGACATATTGTTCAAAATTATTTTTAATATGGTTTTATAGAATAATCTCTAGAAACTGAGACATACTATTTTTAAAACTAACATTTTCTGGACTAGCTGGATTGCTAACATTATACATTTTATTTTTTATATAATCTAGTACTGCAAATGAAGCATACATTAAACTATGGATGTAATTGCCAAAATATTAGCAATTTGCAGTCTTGAAGTTTTGTTGCTGTATCAATCAAAGCATTCAGAATAATAAAATCTTCTCAAACCTTTTATTGATCCTTGAAGGTAGTATCAAAATATTTTTACATATTTCCAATGAAGCTATATAGAGAAAATAGTAATCTAACTTATCATGAAGAAACTCTTTTAAAAGATAGCTTTAATCTGAATATCATAATGATTAAAATGACTTAATAAAATTAAAATCAGTCATATGAAAATAAATATATAAGTAAACAAAATCCATTACTCTGTAAGATCTTCTATCTTTTTTTCCACTAAAGTAGGCGGCACATTGGAAACAATGACTTGCATATCCAGCTGATTGACCACAGAGACCTGAAAAAAAGAAGAAAAATAACTCATTTATTTTTACTTAAAAATTCAACACAATCTATAGAGAGAATAATTTTATGTTGCCATCTACTTTTTATATAAGGCCTAACTTCTCTACCATCTATGTTGCACATAGATGCCTTATCAGGGAGTCAGAGTCATATAGTTACAGCAATCACTTAATTAACTTAAATGTGAAGTAGCCACAATATTATTGGGAGAAGTGAAAGTGTTGCAAATCAGAGTACACACAATTCCTTTGAAGAGCTCAGCTACCATTTAATTCTACTGAATATTACTATTTAGAAAGAAAATTCATATTTGCTGAATATTTCAATGAAGAGAAGAAGAAATGCAAACTATTATGGAAAATGTTTTCAAATAATTAAAAACATTTCTAACCATTTTTTTAGCCTAATACATCAGGTCTGAAGATGGTATAATAAGCCAGGGATCTGTTGGCTTATCACCTATGCACAACAGTTAACATTGGCAGTGTGACCTCTGTACCTCTAACTCATTATATAACTATCTGGACCCAAATACCTAAGTTTTACTTAAACAGATCAGTCCTGATTCTTTATTTACAAAAATCACGTAACTTCATTAGAAAAATTGATTTTCACAGTTTTTATGTAACTTTTTCTTTTCTTATTGGTCCTGGATAAAAAGAACAAATTTATGTAGAAACCTTTTCAAATTACTTTTGAGTTTTAGCAGAAAAACACATGAAAAATCTCTAGATGTACATATATAAAACTTATGAAATTGTTTCTTTCCTTCTCTCTCTCTGTCTCTCTTAATATTAGACCATGAAAAGTCAGAAAAAAAAATCTAGTGAAAAAGAAATATCCTGGAAAAATAACAATCATAAGATATTATTTAAACAAGAAATATCTTCACCAGAACCTCCTGAACCTCCTGAACATCCCATCATATCCTGTAACTGCCCTCTCACCTGGACTCAGAAGTTCTGAACTAGTGGCCTCAGGAATGAGGAGCTATCCCAGTGTATTTGAGCGGAAGTACTTCCAACTACTTAGTGGGAGGAGGTTCAGGAGTGATAACATGGTAGTTATTGACAGGCAAAGCAATGAAGAGCATAAGCAGTATATTGAAGGGATGACAGAGAATAGGGATAATCATTCTTTATTTCCTTTAATACAGGTTAACATCACTATCTGTCCTGTTGGATGTGTCTCTATAGATCTGTCCCTATATCTAATAAACATGTTTTTCCTTATCAGCATTTGGGCTCTGAATAAAATGCATGCAAGGCATATTTGGTAAATGCATATTTGATAATATGTAATAAGCACTGGTTAACTGTTCACCCAGCTATTTCTGTTTTCCTAGTGGGATCACTGTAAAAATAGATTTCCCAGACTTCCAGGTTGGTTATTACAGACATATGATCAAGTTCTTGCCAATGTAAAGACAGGAAGGGAAAGAATTAATAATATTAGACTTCTTTTATCTGAGAAATCCGCCCCCATCTACATTAGGATGAAGAAGCCATAAAGAAGGGGAGAAGTACAAAGGGGGAGGAGCTTAAGTCTCTGAACTTTTTTGAATAACTATAAAGGACACTAGTCAAACATGTGTACTCTCTTGTTAAGTCATATGAGAGAAAAAGAAAATCTGTTTTGTTAAAGCATTAAAATTTTGGACTTTTTATTTTATATTTACCCCATCAGCTCAAATATCTAAAGTTCTATTACCACAGTTGTTGGTAGAATCTTAATAATTTTAGAGCAATAAAACTTAGACTGTTAGTTATATGTGGGTGCAAGGAAGCTACAGATTTTCTGTGCTTGTTTTCTGCTATTGAGCAGCTGATTTATAAATAAATATTTAGAATTCAATCAATTTTATATGGTAAGGAAGCAAAATTTGGCATTGCAGATATAAGTAACTCTCATTGGCCTTTTAAGGACTGTCAATGATTTTGCTGCATTCCGGAGAAATAACTTGTTCAAAAAGATTTTAAATTTATTAGTGAGCTTTGGAACTAAATTCTGACTGAATCAATGATAAAAAGTAAGTAATATTTTAGGTCCTCAGAAATATGTACAGATTGTTTATAATTTTTCAAAAATATTCTTAGATCTTGACAAATTCTGACATGATTTCGTATTCTTAGGACATAAGAGGAATATAATGAATGTGGTAGCACACTCTTATAATCCCAGTGATTCAGGGAGCCTGAGGTAAGAGGATCACAAGTTCAAGATCAACCTCAAAAACTTAGACTCTGTCTGAAAAAAAAAATAAATAAAGAGCACTTGGGGACTTAGTGGTTAAGCACCCCTGGCTTCTATCACCAGAACCAAAAAAAGAAAAGAAAGAAAGAAATGAAAAAGTATATATGTCTATTTCTGTTAAATTAATAAAACTCAGGCTACATTTAACTACAAATATATTGTCTCGGATTACCTCTAAAATTGTTCCTTTCCCTAATAAGACTATGAGGATATATTAGAAATTCATAAGGATTAATTACACCATAATTTTATATTTTTATGCTTTTATTGTATGGTGCTGGGGATTTAGCCTAGGACCTTGTGCATGCTAAGCATGTGCTCCACCTCTGAACTATAACAAAACCCTACACTATAATTGTAAAAATATCCTACAAATTTCCTTAATTAAGCTCTATAGGTTGATTATAAGTGAAACTTTTCAAAACATAGATTTATATCATTGTAGGTATTGCTTTTGTAATAGGTTAAAATGACTAGACACAATAAAAAAGAAAATTTATATTTTTGAATCAGAGTTCTAAAACAGAGGTTTCTAATTTACATATTTTATTTCTAAGCCCTATTATTTCTTCCTCATAAACATACTATCTTTTTATTTCCCTTTCTTGATCCCATAAAAGTTAGAGATTACCATCTAATACAAATACAACACAACTCATAAATAACTGATATATATGGTACTTTCATTTTTATGGTATCCACATTGAAAGATAAAAATTGGCAAAATTATTTCAATAATGCTTTTAACCCAATAATTTAAACTTTAATGTTATCCGAATATATATTCAATATAAAACATCTTATTAAGGAAATAGTTTATATTTTTTTTTCATCTTAAGTCTTTGCAATCCAGTGTGCATTAAATACTTACAGCACATCCAATGGTGACCAGGTGAATTTCCAGTGATCAGTAGTTACATTTGACTGATAGCTAGTGTGTTGGACAATCCAGTTACAGATACATGCATCACTTCCTGCTTGAACTGGTCATTGTTCCTTTTAAATGAACTCTGCTATACACTCACTTTTCATGAAATGAAAGTAATGGTTTTAAAGCCTTTTCATATCATCATATATTTTCTTCTTTGATATTACATTAAAACTCAAGTGATAATTTCTACAAGGTTAGGTTTGATGTAAAATCTAAAGCCACATTTAGAAACATTTTAAGTAATACTGAAAATTCATTTATCTTTATTGTAATTTGAATTTATCTTTTACCCATGAATGAGTTTTCAATGTCTTTTTCAATCATGTGGAAAATATTGGTTCAGATTTTTGTCAGAGTTTTCAAATGGGACACACTTTGTTATATAATATCAAGAAAAGAAATATTATTTACTATAATCATTGATCTCATAAGTTAATCTTTAAGTAAAGGGAAGCTGTCATTTCTTAGTGGCAGATATAAGCTTTCCAATATCCAATTTGTGCTAAAAAGCTTCAACGTTTTCATTAGCAGTAAATACTATCATTTGTTTTTTCAAAATGACGTGATTACAGCACTTACTTTTGTAAATATCTACCAAATAGTTTTAAATAGACATATTTTGTCTTTAAGTTAAGGAATTCATGGGAATAAAGCATAGGGAATAAAAAAAAACTATTAAAGGAAGGAAAGTGTTTTGAATCAGATTCTAGTGAGTAAGTTGAGTTAGTGGTGGAGTACTAGTTTTAGCTTTATGAAATAGAATCCTACTCCATTAAATAACGATGAGGATGCAGATAATATCCTGGACTATTGGGAACAGATTTTTCTAGGATATTGGGAGTGAACATTCACTCCAAGAAATACAGAGTGAATGCTGGAAAATAAAAGTTCATTTAAAATGAAACTAATCTTACTTCTGTGTTTCTTTTTGGCAGATAAAATTACCATGGGAAGAGGTATGGGGAAAGTAGAGAGTTGGAATTAATTAGAGTTACAACTTTGCTAAATGCGTACATGTATCAGTAAAGGTGGTGTGATTGGCTGTCAACTTCACTGGATTAAGAGATGTTTAGATAATTGGTAAAATATTGCTTCTAAGTGCTTCTGTGAGGATGTTTCTGGAGAAGACTGGAGTGTGGGGTAGTAAACTGAGTGGGTGAGATGTGCTCTCACTGAAGACTGCACCACACAATTGGCGGTTGCCCCATAGGTAACAATGTAATATAAGAAAGGGAAACATCCTCTCTTTCCTTTTGGCTTTTCCTTTCTAAGTGGTCATATTTTCTCCTCTCCTTGGATATAGACTCCAGTGCCTCTGACTTCTGGGACCTCTAAGCCATCAGTCTTAAATTGCTAGCTAGTTGTCAGGCTTCTGGCTTCTTAGACTGAACCATTCTACCAAGATTCCCTGGTTCTTCAGTTTTCAGATGGATGTTGTGCATTTTTTCAGCCTTATAACTGAGCCAATCTAGTAAATCCACTAGTTCTGTTTTTCGGGAAAACCATAAATAATATAGAAAAAAAAGGAAGCTAAATTTTTATATTAACATGCTTATTATAATTGAAAATATGCCATAAAGCTGATAAGCAAGAAAGGAGAACATTAGGAGGTCTCAATAGAAACATGATGGACAGAAAATATATTGTCAGCTAACTGGAATAAAGGTCCTAGTGGTGACAAAAGTGATAAATTTAGTTAGACATATTCAGCATTACAGTCAAAGAGTAACAGGTTTGAAATGGAGATTATGGAGGTACTGGCAAAGATAATGGCTCTGAATGGTTGAAATAGGGGGGAGGGCAAAATCATGGGAACAAAGGCATTCAAGGAATGTGAGTTTTGATCACTGAAAAAATCACCATTGCATATAAAGAATGATGTTAAAAAATTAAGTCCAGAGAATTGATGGAGATAGTGAACAGTAATTCCAGGAGTTAAAGTCATATATATGATGGATAATTTTGATCCAAGTTTTGGGAGATCACAGGAAGTAGTGAGTGACAGATGATGAGAATGAAGACTGGACTCTTAGGAGGAAGGTAAGGTTTAGAAGTGATGCGGTTGTACACAGAAGATCCTACTCTATCAGTGGGCAGTATGAAGACTGTGACAGACAAAAATGAAAAAGAATCAAACAGAAGCCACCACTAATAAAGCAGCAGTAAAAATGGTGCCATCTCAGGGGAGAACTAGATTTGTACTAAACAAGAAGCCTTCTTCTAAGTTTAATAACCTTATTTTATCCCACTCTTACTAAAACTTTCCAGTGGCTTCCCACTATATTTAGGGGAAAGTACCAACATTTTTCATGTGGCTTAAGTCTTTTCTATGGACCAGTTATTTTCATCTCTAGCCTTATTAATTATTCCTGTTCCTTCTCACATTCTTCTCTGATGAGTAAATAAATTTCTGTGACTTTTCAAACTTGTCATCTTTTATTTCCCCTTGTTTTTGGCACATATTGTGTCTTGTGCATAGAAGCCATTCCTTTTATATCTAACTTTTTTGAACTATAGGATTATGTAATTTTGCTGAGAAGGCTTTCCTGATGCTCTTAGTTTGTGTCAGAATATAATAATATATGATATGCATATTATATATGTATATAATATTATGATTTATTTGAATTTTTCCTTGTAAATATATTTTGGCATATACTAAAATTTTCATATATTATTTATAAAGTATAAATTTAAAAAAACATAAATTTTACATTATTTATATATAAATCATATATATACTTTATTCACATTATATATATTCTATTTATTTATATATTTTTTGTATTTATTTTATCATATTTTGACTATACTTTGTGTAGTGATCTTATTATTTAGTCTTTAAGGTACCCATTGTGCATAACTTACAAAACAGAATAAGAAAATGGTATTCTTTTATAACATTTATAGATCTTAATTTGATCAAAATTCTATATCAACCTTAGTATTTTCTGTCTAAACTTCTTGGTTGAGATTGTCCTTTCTTCATCCATTGATAGCTTTACAGTTACAAAGGAGAGTGTAGCTGGGGGACAGTTGGGGCCTTCATACCCACCAGAATCATGGAAATTGGTCCTCACCATTATCTAAGAAGACAAATACCTGATCATTTATGACTGCATGCATATGATGGTTAAGTTTGTCCAGATAGCTTAATGAAGAGAACTGTGAGAAATTAAGATTTATTATGACAAGAAGAATAATACACAAACTATGCTTTACTCCATCTTTATGTGACAAATATATTCAAGAATAATTATAATTTTTATTAGATTTATCATAGAAAAGTCCAAATAGTCCACACTTCCAACTCAGTAGCAATTGCACAGGATATATGAATTAGTTTTAAATATATTCAATAAAAACTAATATCAAACTATTCTTGGAAATGATCTACCACTGTACTTGTGCACAGACCAAGAGAAAGTCAGAACAACAATATTACTGATTACAAATTGCTACAAAACATTTTTTGTTGTTTTCTAAATTACAAAAGGCTAGATGTTAAAAATGTGGATGAAAATTAATGATATTTATGTTTTAGAAACCTGTTTTAAATTATTCCTAAAAATGTTCTGAGCTGAAAATACAATCTCCTGAATAGTATTGCATACAATTTCTTTCTTTATTTCTTTTTTGGTGTCAGGGATTGAATCCAGGAGCACTTAATCACTGAGCCACCTTTCCCAATCATTTTTATATCTTATTTTGAGATAAGGTCCCAGTTGCCTAGGGCCTTGCTAAATTGCTGAGATCATCCTGGCTCACCCTCCTAAATTCATGGGATTAAAGGAATGCACCACTTGCCCAGCTGTGTGTAATTTATACATCTGAAGTTTTCTCTACTTACAAGTACATCAGCTTTTCCACTCAGTCCCTTCCCATAGTTGTCAGTTGCAATAACTTGAAATTTGAAGTAAGATCTTCTCATATTATGGAAGAGCATAGCAGTCTTGATGAGTCCTGTGTATGTTTCCACCACAAACCCTTCTTTTCCCTCTTTAATTGGTGGTATTATGAGTCTGTATGCCATAGCACTATAATTACCAGTATCTTTATCAGTAGCCTAGGAGAGAGGAAAAAATAAGATTATAAATTGACAAGAAAAACTAATCTTTACTGAAGGGACTATTTCTGTTTTTAAGGTTGTTGTAATAATACAATAAAGTTGTCCTAAAATTCTTTTTTTTTCTGAATATCATAATGTGTATTTATGTACTTTGCATCCATGGTGTTGAATGGTTATTATGAGAATGATTACTGAAATGTGAATACAAAGTACATAGACAATGGAGGAAGAAATAAGTTAATTTTTAACTGATATGCCTGATAAGTTCAACTCTGAGTTGTGATTCATAATTTGCTGAAAGGTGGGACTGGCTGGTTACCTGAAGATTGTCTTCATGTATTGGGAATACTATATGAGTTTTTAAAAATCTAGCATAGAGCCAGAAGGGGATCAACTTAAAAGACTGCACAAAATATTAAAACGACAGAAAGGTAAATCAAAGTTAGAGTTTTTAACAAATAAATTGGAATGTATAAAATGATCTCAATGAATTAATGCTATAACCATAAATACAGAAGGTACTACTAATCCAATTTATTTCTTAATCATTTTGTATCCCGATTTACCAGGTTTTGTTATTGGTGGCAGGTGACTTAAAAAAATCTGTTTAAGTTTCTTATCATTTATAATTTAAAAGGATTTTAATCATTTGCTTAGATTTTTTTCTATTTCTTTAAAAATATAGCTGTGACCATAATACATAAGGTTGGTTCTGAGGCTTCTAATTAATGAAAATTTTTCAGAATGTCATTTTCAAAGTTATTTAAAAGTGAAATGTTTGAAAAAATTGTGGCTAGGAGAGTCTTCAAAAACTTACATAAGACTATATATAAAATACTCATGATACTAGATATGTAAGTTGTGTGTTTTCACTTATAATCATCATTATCTTCTATTGTATAGCTAGTCTTATTTTTATTAATTCTATTATTATTAAATATCATAATCTGAAGAAGGCACTGCTTTAATTATATAAATTAGTGTTGACCAAATGAACTCTGGTAAATAGAAATGTTCTAAATCTACCCCATGACAGTAGATACTAGCAATGTATGACTACTGCATTCTTGAAATGAGCCTAAGTGGCTAAGCAACTGAAAGTTTAATTTGATATAATTTTAATAGCCAAGGAATATATAATAAGTGGTAATGTTGGGATATGAATAATGAAAAATAATAATAATAATAATTGCAAATAATAGCAAACGTTCATTAAAATACAGCATGAGTTTGACTTAACTTTCAAATTTTGTACACACACATATTTGGATCATTTAAAATATTTCAGCATTTAAAATATTTCAGGATAATCCTATTTACCTGTTAGACAAGATAACAAACTAAGAAACTCAAATATTTCATTCCGTATCAAATATCTTATGAATTTTCTAGAGAGTTAATATTCTCAGCTTTAGAAGAGGGCTCAGACTTATCTCTTTGTGTTCTGTGTGGTTTGCATCATAGCAGAGTTATTTTGGCCTTGGAATAATGGTTATTAGATTACTAATCAGTTCACCTTCTCACTTAAAGGGAACAAAAAAGAGCATAGAGAAAAAAATTACTAGTTTTTCTTTTTATGCTTTGACCTATAAGTTCTTTTTGTTTTCAGTTTAATTATATAATAAGAAATAAAATCATATTCCCAACTAAAATTAAAGTCTGATTCTAAATCAAGTCGTCCAAGACATTTCCTATACTAATGAGCTAATTTATTACTAATGCCAAAGCAGCTAAAAATTTAGTGGAATATTAACCTTTTAACCTCTGATTAACATAGGAATTATCCCTAGAGCAAACTACTGATAATGTAAATTTTGAGGTATAAAAACATACCAAAAATTGTGCAAGTTGTGAGTGTACAGCTCAATAGAATTTTACAAAATATGCATCTGTCCAGCATCTGCATCAGGAGATTGAACATCACCAATGTTCAGTATGTGCTCTGAACCATTCCAGGCCCATCTACCTCTCTTTGGTAAACTGCAAGTCTTTCCCTGGGTCATTGACTAGTTATGCATATTTTTAAAATTTGTATTAATGGAACCATAGAATATGCTCTGTTTTATGTTCAAATTCTTTTTTTTTATTTTGTGAGATTCTAAGACATTTTATTTTAAAATAAATGCTGCATAACAATGAAATCACATTTAGAAAAGAAAAGATGGTCACCATAAAATCATAGTGATTGTTTGGCACATTAGGCTACTATATACAGTTCCTACTGATTAACTTCCAGTTTCAATAAACAGATTCACTTTGATAATATCCCTAATTCATTAAATTTTGATAACTATACTATAGCCATATTTCATCTTAAAGGATTAAAGTGCTTTTTATAACATGCCTTTCTGAAAAAATAATCACTTAATGTAAAAGTTTAGATGCAGAATTAGTCATTTTAGTTCAGAAATATCTAGGAATTTTTAAAATAACTTTTCATAGTATATTTGGAGCAATTAGTAAAAAATGAGACAAAATTTTCAAAATCATATTTGTTAAACTTTTTAAGTATATATATATACATATACATACATATACATATATATATGTATTTATATATATATATCTGCACTATATAGTGCAGCAATAACCTCACTTTAAGTTCTATTTCTTTAAATGGGCATGATACTGTAATATCCGTGACTTACTTCCTGAAGATAATTGTTGAGAATAACTGCCAGGATCATTAGCATTTCTCCCTTCTCTTTCAAGTTTACATATTTAAATACCATTTAGGAAGAGTGAATCATGGAAATTTCAATGCATGCTGTTCTTATGAGCATTTCAGGGCATTTTCAAGTTTGAGTCAACTCAAATTATAATAAATACATGATTTAGGAGATCAACATCTAACTCTGATAGGCGTGTATAAATTATAATTATAAAAAGTTAACAACAAGATATTCTTTTCATGAAGTAATGACAAGATGTATGTTAAATACACAATGATCCACATCAAAAATATCAATAAAAAAATTTAGAACACAATTTTAAATTTGGGTTAGGATGTAAAACCTCAGTGAGAGTTTTAGTGTGTATTGTATCAATGTACTTCCTACTTCAATTAATTTTAAATTAATTTTGTTTGTTTACTTTTGTATTGTGTTTTAGAGTGACATGGGCTCCAAAGTCATATGTAACTTTGAAACAGTTTCTAGTTTCCTTATCTATAAAATGTAAAGAATAATGCTCAAGAAATAACATTTTAATATGTGTGTATCTTTGTTCTCTATTTATCTATTTCTCTCTCTACATATATAGTATATATGGAGTTATGTCCAAATAAAGTATTACTAATAATATAAATTTTGATCATATTAGCCAAAAGATTTAATATTTTTCCACATCATGATGTTTTCCCATGAATAAAGAAATTTAACCCTCAACCATTTTAGATTTATTTATGTAGACATATAATCATAAGATTTTTAACTCCCTTAACCACATAACATACTAATCATTTTTTACTTAGAGAGCTTAAAGTCTATACAGTTTTTTTATAATCTTATTTTTTTTCTTTTCCAGCTCTCCTTTATTGTTTCTATATCACTTTTGAATCAAAATTGCAAAACCTCTTCCTCAAATAAAATCCAAACATTTATCTAAAATGTACACTCTCCAACCTTGTTATTGAATAAGTGTATTGGTATCTAGCTCTCAGTTTCTCCCTTCCACTTTCAATTCTTATTTCTTTAATAACCTTAGTGTTCATATAGATAACACATCTAGCAAATCATCTTCAAATCTGAGGTATCCTTTCAATTTCATAGTAATTGTGATCTTGTGCCTCATGCTGAAATTGTTTGTAGGGAAATATGCCATCTCTGGACACTTAAACACCAAGTTATAAATTTGTAACCCCACAAATTCCACGATCATGTTCAATTCAGCCTTCTTTATTGTCACTACATTTTCAGTCCCACATCTTTGCATCCATTGCATGAGAGTTCATGAAGTTCCTTTCTGCTCCATCCTAGAAGTTATAGCTGGTTAAACAGTTATCATAATTTTATCCTTCCACAAAACCAGGGCCTTTCTTCTCTTAGATCAATCTTATATCAATTTATTTTTGGTTACTGAAGAGTGAAAAGATTAAATAACCAGGCAGACTACTAGTGTTGCTATAGGCTCCAAAAAATCTGAAGTCAACTGTGCCTTTCTTCTATTTAGAAAATCTTTGCTATATCTATAGGTGGTAACTCTCCCTCCCGCCCCCACCCAATCCTAAAATTCACTCTTTTCTTTTTTTGGTACTGGTTTGAACCCAGGGACACTTTACTGAGTCACATCCCAGCCCCTTTTATTAATTTTTTTTTAAATACAAGATCCTGCTGAGTTGATGAGACTGGCCTTACTTGCAATCTTCCTGCCACAGGCTCTGTAGTCACTGTGATTACAGGGTTGCACCACGACAGTTGGCCCTTTTCTTTAATTTTTCTTTCAGTCACCTTTGGAGATGAGGAAGTTATAATTTACATAAAAATTGAGGATATTAAGTGTGAAATTTCTTGAATTCTTATCATTTAACTAAAAAACCCTACATCTGTACTTACTCCCACTGCTTTCTTCAAATCCCAAAGAAAGAGCTGACACTCCTCTCCTGCTAAAGGCACTTAGGCCTTGATCTGACTCACTCCTAACATGTGATGCTCTATTTATCTTTGTCCTTTTAACATTTTACTCAGAAGACTATAAAAACACATGATGCCTTTTCTCATTAAAACAAAATGAAACTACTCTACCCTTTTCTGATGATATCCCTACAACTTTCATATCTATTTTTCACTGTTCAGTTTCTCAGAAAATCTCTCTACAATCACTATCTCCAATTCCTTTACTCAATGATCTTTTTTTTTAAAAAAAAAAAAAAGCAGCCAGACCTCTGCCTCTCCCCACTACTGAAGGCAGTCCTTGAATCTGGCTCAGTCTCAGATCAACCAGTTTTGTGCTGTTTTACAGTATGTGTATAACATTGCCGCTGCTGTTTCTGTTAACAT